CGGGAGCTGCACAGGTCAAGGCAGCGCCTTGGTACCTTCCCTTTCCTTAGGCCAGCTGTGCCAAGGGCTCCTATTTTACCCTCTGCCAGTACCAGGCACTTGTACTCGAAGACCCTTCCCTCTCCTTTTCCCCAAGGACGGCAGCGTTTGCGCAGGACAGTGGTGGAGCAGGGAGGCCAGGATGGCCCTTCTTCCCTCCCAGGCCCCCCAGCCCCACAACCTTGCTTCTCTCCCAGCTTCCTGGGATCATAGGGAAGCAGCTCCTGTAGCTGTAATATGGGCTAGAGCTTTGGGTGGTGACTGAAGAGCTAAAACTATGGTACAACTCCTAGGGCATCCGCTTGTCTGGTGGACATGGTGGCCACTGGCCGGGAGCAGGAGCCCATGCGGCCAGAGGAGGCAAAGGAGCCCGGGTCCGACGGCACGTCCCATAGCAGTACTTGAGTTTATTTGTAAACTGTTCTTTGGTAAACGATAAGAACGCAAAAGGGACCAAATGAATGGGGAGGTTCCCCCAAAAAACAAACAAACAAACAAACAAAACACCCAACCATCCTGATGGGAAAAATAAAATTCACTCCAGCGGCAGGGATTTGAATAGGAAAAACAACCTACAGCAAACGCGGCGGCGAGGGGGAGCCCCGGGGGCTGCGCTAGTGACTGCCACGTCGCCCCCGCTCCCGCGGGGCTTCCCCCCGGGCCGCTCGCTCCCCTCCTTGTGCTCTGTTCCAGCGCAGCAATGGGGACGAAGGGGGCGAGCGGCGGGGAGGGAGCGTGGGGGGACCCTACACGGGGGGCTCGTTGCAGAGCACGATCTCCAGTTCCTTGCGGTAGAGCTTGCCCCCGTCGGAGAGGTTCATGATGCTCTTTCTGTAGTTGGTGAGTTGCTGGATGCTCATCTCCTGCAAGGAGCAGGGTCGTGGGCGCTGCCTCAGCTCCGGGCACCCTGGGTGTCCCCTCCCGGTGCTCCCACCCTGCTCCCACCCGGCCCTTTCCCGCTTACTTTCTTGTTCTTCTCGTACAGGTCTTTCAAAAGGGCGTCCAGCTCATTCTCGTCTATGAAGCCGCTGCCGTCCTGGCAGCGATGGAGGGACGTGAGCACAGGGGATGTGTGCCTGGCCAGTCCCGTGTCAGGGACCGTGTCCCCGTGTCAGAGCAGGGAACGTCCCTGCCGCCCGTTGGCCCCGCCAGGTCACATCCCCTTGTCCTTCCCTAGTGCCCTCCTACCTTATCGTAAAACGCAAAGATAGCATTGAATTCCTCCGACGACAGCTTCATTCCCTGGCAGGAGAAACAAGATGGGAGGCTGGGGAAGAGGCACGCTGCGAACAGGGAGTACGGAATATGCACATGGATTTGTACCTGAAACTTCAGGAGGAAGTTCTCTTGCACAGGCAACAGTCGGAAACACAAGAAGGCCATAAGCAGCCGGGTCACAGCGAGCCGGGTGTCCTGCCGTGCGGGAGGCCGAACGCGGTGCTGCCGCGCTGGCCGTGCGCCCCGGGACGCGTCACGGCCGCCGTGCTCCGCAACGGCCGCCTGAACGAGGCCCTGACGCTGCCAGGCGAGAGCTGACCCTGGGCAGAGCCTCTGCTCCCGGGCACGGGCTCCTGCCTGGCACCAGCAGGAGTCAGAGGATCCGATCCAACCAAAAAAATTTGTATATACTTTATATAACACTTTATATATAAAATATATATTTTGTCCCTCCTTTCCCCAGGTTATGTTTGAGCCAGATTGGTTCCCTGAGCAGATTCAGACCAAGGCTGGCGAGAACAAGGCTGCCCCGCTCGGGAGCGGTGTGGACCTGCAGCAGCGGGGAAGCGAGTGCGATTTGGGAGTGACAAAGCAGAGAAGGGACCCGGTGGCTGCTGGCACCTGGAAATGCAGGCATCAGAGTGTGGCCTGCATTTAAAAAGATACATAAAAATAAAGAAATAAAAGAAGAGCTCAAGTGGTCGGGAAGGGGCTGCTGGCGGTGAAGGGTCTCTGTGTTTGCTTCTCCGCTGCTCCCCTTTGCCAGCGGACATCCGAAAATGCCGTTTGACATTGCATTTGTCATGAGAACAGCTGGGGTTTGAAGTCTCATGGACTTTTCATTTAGAAACACAAGCCATCCAAAGAGGAAAATTCTGCTTTCCTCCGTCAGCCAAAGCAAAAACCAGCTCCTAACAGACGGGAATGTTTTGAGGCTTTTCCTCCCCACCACTCGCTTCTTTTGCTCCCCTCATCCTGGCAGCGACATCTCAGGTGCGAAGGCCCCAAAGTCCCTTTTTGGATGGAGGCATCTGAGCAGACACCCCGCGCTGCAGCCCCGGCTCCCCCGAAGGGCGGAGGGTCTTACCGGGACATCTCCGAGAGGCCCAGCTTCCCGTCCCCGTTCATGTCGAACATCCGCAGCTGCGGGGACACGCGGGGTTACCCACCGTGCCCTCCCTCCCGCGGGGCGGCGGGGAAAGGCGGGAGGCCGGGGCCCGCCGCCGCTTACGATGGTCTGCGTGTACTCCTGCAGCTTGGCCTCGTCGTGGGGCCTGTTCGCCTTCTTCAGCAGGTCCGACAAGAAGCCCTGGGGCGAGAGCGACGCGTCGGCCGCGCGCGGGCCTGCCGGGCCGTCCCCCTCCGCGGGCGCTGCTGGGCACCCGTCCCCAGCCGCGCAGCCCCCAGCCCACCTTGCGCTCGTTGGCCTCGATGTAGCCGCTGCGGTCCGTGTCGTACCTGCGCCAGGCCTGCGAGGAGGCACCGCCCGGCGTCCGCGGGGCTCCTGCGGCCCCGGGGATGCCGCGCGGCTCCTGTTTCGCCGGTGCGTTGGGAGCGCGGGCGCGTCATTGTCCTCGCTCCCGCCCGTGACGCGGCGCTTCAATATTTCATGGCGGCCCCCGTTCCCCAATAGCAGCCGCTTCCCAGCCCCCTGCACCAGCGGCTCCTCTTTCCGCCTCCCGCGGGGATGCTGGGGTCCTTCTCTGAGCCCCTCTGCTCCTCTTGGTCCCCTTGTCACCCAGCGCTGCTTATGTGGGTCACCCAGAGCTGCTCATGTGGATCCCACCCCTCTCCTCTTTCCCCCCTTCCCTAACGTCAGCCCCAGCAGAGCCGGCCACGGGGACCCAAAGGGGCGCAAGAAGCCGTGGCCGGAGACGGCGCGAGCCCAAGCAGCGCCGCTCACCTCCATGAACTCGGAGCTGGAGCCGACGTGCTGGCGGAAGCACAGCAGGAAGTTCTCCTCCGTGGGCAGGATCTGGGCCAGCTGCAGGGACAGCGAGTGTCAGCGGGACAGGGAGCAGCTCCCTACTCGCTCTCCCAGCCACACCGTGAGCCCATTGAGCTTCTCCCGCTGCCCATACGGAGCTTTCCACTCGCTCCCGTTGTGCAAGAGAAGTCACTGCCACCACTGAGCTTTGCCCGGGCATCTCCTCCCGCCATCTGCGGGTGCTGGGAATGCCCAAGGCAACTCCTTGTCCCTGCAGCCCTGTCCCCTGCATCCCCGAGGGGTCTCCCAGCACAACGCACCTCGGCCATCTCGATCTTGCCGTCCGCGTTTTTGTCGTACTTGTGCATGAACTCCTTCATCTTCTCGCCAAAGTTGTCCTTCTTGGAGCCCTGCTGGCAGAGCGCGGGCCCGGGCATCAGCCGCGCTCACCCCCAGCCCCAGCGCCCCGTCCCATTCCCACTGTTTTTAATTTGAGCCTGTTCCTATGGGCTCGGTGGCAGCCAAGTCCCTTCCCTGCCCGCGGGAGCTTGCGGGCAGGATAACCGGGGCTCTGGGAGCCTCCAGCGCTGCCAGCCTCGTGGCAGCCTGAAACCGCAGGCTGGAGAGACACGGGGAGCAAGGGCAGGTGGGGGCCTTACCACGCCGGCCCCCTTCCTGGCGCTTTCCAGCTCCTGGAAGAAGTTTTCCAGCTCTTTGCCTTCGATGTAGCCGTTTCCTGGGAAGGAAGAAGAAAGCCGAGGCATTGGCGAGTGGCTCCAGCGCGGGTGGTACCCGGTGACACCTGCCCGAGCTCGCTGGGAGCCCCCAGCGCCTGCGTTTTAGCCTGGGACACGCAAAGCCCCAGCTCGTACAGCGTGTGGGGGGACACCGATGCCACCGATGCTCCAGGCCCGCCACGGTGCCACCACGCAAAGCCCAGCGGCATCGCTGCCTGTCACCGCAAACGGAGCTGGTCCCCTTTTGGGAAGACGAGGATGTCACATGAGACACATCACGGTGAAGGCCATTAGGTGTGTGTCAAGATGGGGTTCCTATGGCAACGGGGCCGTCCCCTCGCCTTAACGAGGCCGTCGCAATTAGCTGCTGCGCAGTCTCCTCCTGCCAGGCCGCTTCCTCAGCACTTTCGCCCCGAGTGGCTCTTGCCCCGGCTCCAGTGTGCGGGGCCTCTCCATGCTCCGGAGGCTGAGCAGGAGGAGGACTCCGGAGCAGCCGAGCGCTCCCGCGGCTCCCGGTCTCTCGGTCCAGCCCGGGGAACAGCCACGGCGCCTCCTTCCCAGCTGCTCCGCGAGCAAGTCGGCAGCACCGCGGTGGACACGAGCTCTTCCTCTCCGGCACGGCCGCGGGGACCGGGCTCGCGGCCAGGGCACGGCAGCACTGACACCGCCATCCCCGTCCCCGCCGCTGCCCTCCGTCCTCCTGTCCCCTTCCTGCAAGCCTGAGGCCGGTTTGTGGGACCTTCCCAGGCAGACTGGGCAGCTCCTTCCCCAAGGAGCCCGGAGGAGCTTCCACTCCTTTCCCCTGCAGAGGGGACGGCTGCCGCGAGTCGCAGGGGCCCCCGGGAGGATGACATAGCACCCACCAGACGGTCGGCACCTCCGGGTGACACAACCCCAGGGGACTCGCACCCTTCCCGCTGCCTCCGGGAGCCTCAGGCCCTTCCCGTGCTTGGTGGCCTCAGCATTGGGGGGAGGCACAGAACTGGCCAGAGCTTTCCCAGGGCAGTTCCCAGGGAGCCCCAGCACTCAGGAAAACGGCACCAAAAGGCTCTTTTTCGGCCAAAGAGATTCCTTCCATGGGATTTTCCTCCCTCTGCACATGCCAGCCTGATGCAGCTCCCGGCTCCAGCGCGGGCCCTTGGCTGGGATGAGTGCGGAGCGGCTCTGGAGCCTGGTCCCTGCTAAGCAGCCTCTCCCGAAGACCAGGGACGGATCCCGATGTCCGGTGTGCAGCCCGTTCCCGGCAGTGCCCTACCCCTGCGCAGTGCGGGCGTCCCCAATGTCCTCATGACCCGGAGCTCTCCGTCCGGGGGGTCAGGGAGCCCCTTCCCTGTCCTGCTTGGGGACGGAGACACCTCCTCCGTCGTCCCCTGCCACCGGATATCCCAGGGTCCCACTTGCATCCACAGTGTCCCCTAGAGCCATGGGTCCCCCGGGCATGAGCAAAGGGTCCCCCACGGCCCGGGCTCCCGTAGCGGGATAGCAGGGACATCCTCTGGCAACCTGGGGGCACTGGGCTGGCATCTCCTGCGCCCCAAGAGACACCCACCCCCGAGGGGCGCAGGGGAGACCGGGAGCCGCTGGGAGCCGCTCCCGGCGCTCCGGGGCCCGGCGGGGGGTCTCCCCCCCCCCCCCC